CGAGGTTCTTATTCGGGAAGGGCCCGTTGGGCATGGCGTCGTTGGTGGCGCAGTGGGCGGCGCCGGGCACGAGGAAGAGGCGGTACCAGTCATTCAGGGCGGCGGCGCTGGCGTTGTAGGAGAGGGCAGGGTACATGACGCTGCGGACGGATTCCCAGTAGCGGACGGAGGAGGCGGTGGGGATGGAGGCGTCGGCCTCGCCGTGGAAGTGGATGACCTTGCCGCCGGCGGTGTGGAAGGGGGTCAGGTCGGGCCAGGTGGTCTGCAGGGTGCTGTAGTACTGCAGGAGGCCAGAGATCATCCACTCCTTGAGGGTGTCGTAGGTGACGCCGGCCAGGCTGTCGAGCGTCGTGCCGTTCTCGTACACCAGCAGGCCGATGTGCTCGCCGCCCAGCTGGTCGATCTCCAGCCCCCACTCGCCCGTCGTGCTGTTGTACTGCGTCGCCGCGTCGTCGAACGCCGCCGCCGGCTGGTACGAGAAGTACACCCGCTTGCCCGCCGAGTCGTGCGCTCCGTCCAGGATCGTCTGCGCCACCTGGATACCCTGCGCCGACACCGTGCCGTTCTGCGCCGGCGTCGCGCTCGAGAACCGGCTGCCTGCCGTCGCGGCGCACGAGTACGCCTCGCCGATCAGGCTGCTGATGTTGAAGTGCAGCGCGCACAGGTCGGAGCGCGCCACCACCCCGTCCGTCTTGCCGTCGAGCGGGTCACACGCCGTGATGGTCGCGTTGACGATCTTCTCCAGCTCGCACGGCGGCGGGTAGTAGTCCAGGGTTTGCTCGACGACGTTGCTCCACAGGTGCTGCGTCTGTTGGAAGCTCCACCGGAAGGCTGGGTGAGGGTTAGCAAGTCCTGGACTCGGGAAGGGATGTTAGGGAGTGGGGAATGACCTACCTGGGGCGCCGATAGCAGCTCCATCCCACTCGTCGCCATACCGCTGGACCTGGCTCCAGCCCTCGCGACCGCCCTCGGAGCAACCCTGGTAGTAGGCGTACAGCTTCTCGTCGTCGGTCACATTGTAGACATTCCTGGTGAACGCCTTGCCGATCTTGGTGAGTTCCCAGTGCGCCTTGTAGGCGAACATGTAGAGGGTCTCGTAGTCGAGGGTGTAATTGGCCAGCAGCATCGCGGCATCGGCGTTGGTATCGAAGGATCCGAAGCCGCCGTCGGTGAGACCCGACGCGGCGCCGTAGATGATGCCTCCAGGAAGCGAGTTGGATCCGGAGTTGATCGCGTAGCCACCACCGCCTGTGGACAACCACCGGTTCTGGAAGATGGAGGGGTCAGGCAGCCAGATCTGGAGGTAGACCTGGTCGTCGCGGCCATTGTGCGAGTACGCGAAGGTGACATTGCAGTAGTCAATCACGGAGGAGGGGAAGAAGTCACTCGTGACGGAGCTGTTGGTGACGAGCGCGGTGGTGATGGACGAGGGGTCGAGGGTGATGCCGGGGATGAGGTCGGTGGCCGGGAACGCAGTGGTGGCGTAGCTGGTGGTGCAGATGTCGCTTAAGCTGGCTCCATGGGCGAGTGCTGCTAGCCCCGTCAAGGGGACCCAGACAGATGAACGCATCTCTGTATGGAGGGTGTGAGGAATGAAAAGAAGACGAAATGAGTAGAAAGATAAGGATGCTGGCGACAGAATGAACAGCCCTGACAGATGGGACAAACCGTTTTATATCATCTCGGGCTCCCTTTTCTGCCAATGCTCATCTCCCTTGGACCGAAGCTTGATGAGAAAAGTGCGATCGTCAGTCTAGCTTCGCAACTCCGACAGAAAGCTGCATAATGCCCCACAAACTGGTTCTTCATTTCTCTCCATTCCCACAGATCGTGGGTAGAACTAGTCCTTGTTGGGAAGTCATCGCCTATTCTCCGACGGTCAAGTCCACAGTGTCCCTCGGCTCAGAAAGATTTGACTTTGATGTCAACTGTTGAGCCGGCTGGTTTGGAAAAAATCTCCAACGTCACTCGCGAATGGAGTGAGGTACTATTCCTGAAACTCGGGGCGAAGGCTCTGCATTTCCGGAAGCCTTGGCCAGAGGGCGAGAGAGAGATTGCGCCGAGGTTGTGCTGAGCAAATCATACCCAAGCAGAGTGGCTCTGTCCAACCTCAGCTTGCGAAAGCTTCACCCTCTGTCATCCCCACAAAACCCTCCTGAGTCCGGGGTGATATGTGGAGAAGCGCGGGGTCTCCAGATTCAGGGAGTTCGCAATCCACCACAGGTTACGTACCACGGTTCCAGCCAGTTTGTAGGATTCCCAGTGCAATTGTTGTGGGGCAACAAATGTTCTTGCTGAAATCTGTCCATAGCACGGATTTGAGATTGTGGGAAACGGGGCGGCGGCAAGTCGGACATCGGAGGTCGGAGGTCGGGATAATGACGTTGACAACAGAGTAAAATTACAAGGACTACCAAGATGCAGGAGGTCTTATCTGTGGTGTGTGAGGCTTGTAACCTATTGCAAATTGGCACTAGGAGTGATTCTCTTCACCTATAAGAGCTTATGTCTGAGACTGATAAATTACACTACGGCGATATCGTGCTGTAGAGGACTTACTCAGCTCTGCGTACACAATGCACACTCACCATTTGTTTAATGAGCACGCACTCTTATGCTCCTGCCCGGTCATGATAGATCAACCCTTCGCTTGGCTAGCAGCAAGTCATTATGCCATGCATAAGATCAAGAAATCCAGTCCAGTCCGGTGATATACTTGAGCTGGTCTACGTCTTCCATGTTGGAGAAGTAGCAAAGTCGGCAGTTGGGACAGTGCCACGAACCCTATACTGTCTAATTCGATACAGCGAAACTACACGATCTCTTGATATATCTTGACTACAAGGAAATCAACATTTCAGTGGTTCTTCTATACTTAACCTGTTCAAATCCACTATCGCTAGAACTCAGGCGCAATCAAAATCACGAAGGCATATAATACACAAGGGGGTCATATCAACCCAAAGCTTACAACAATCACCCGATAGCCAGGCCCATGACACTCTACGCTCTTATCTTCTTCACTAAACCTTTTGAATATTTGATTTATTTTCACAGTCTTGGCTACGTCCAAAGAAAAATCATCTCCACCCAGAGGCACCCAGCCCCAACACGCCTACTGCTGCCCTAACGTCGAACTTACGCGGCGCAGCTGCGACGACGGCCTCCGCGGATCCGCGAGGGCGCCCGACAAGGCCTCCAACACGGGCTCGTACCACCCGTCCGCATGCCACTCTATCTCATCCCGGAAGACGAAGATCCGCGCCAGGCGGGAGGAGCGGTCATCGACGAACATGCGCACGCGGTCGCGGCAGATGACGACCGCGGCGCGGCGGCGCGCCTTGCCCTCGACGAGCGGGTACCGGCCCCAGCGCTCGCGCAGCAGACGTGCGGCGAGCTTGGGCCAGGGGCCCGCGGCCTCGAGATTTTCGCCATACAGGCGCAACGTCTCGATCGCCGTGCCCACGCCCTCGTCGTCGGGGTACAGGTCCGTCGTGACGGTGTAGGAGCACCGCTCGAAGAGACCCTCGGTGGGGGCCTCGGTGGGGGCTTCGGTGGCCATTCCGCAGGGAATCCTGAATCGGTCAGCTCGGTGAGATGGCTGTAATGTGCTTGTTCGGTTAGAAGTCGGTCTTGAAAAACCTGGGCTGGTTGATGCTGGTGACTATCGGGAGAGAGGAGCTGGATGTGAGGATTTGAGTAGGATTTTATATCTTCATGGTTGTGGGAAAGAGGAAGTCTGTACGATGCAGTTGCTGCATATTCTAGGAGATACAGTCGGGAGTATTTCTCGTTAATAAACACTTCGAATAAAGATCTTATCATACGTCTTGTTCCAACAACAAAAGTGGTTGTCAGAGTGCTTTATATCGGTACAGTGTGGTGAAAAGAAATGCATTGGGTGACACAAAGCTTCGCACGAAGTCTTTGTACCAGAAACTTTGACATGGGCGTCAAAGAGCTGCTGGCAAGGAAGGTAGTATAACAATTACAGTTTAAAATGACAGACACAGTCCCTTTGTTAGAGGAATTTTCAGAATGATTCAGAAGCAAAGGTAGTAATGATTAAGTACCTACCGACAAATTCTCTTCGTCGCAGAGCTCAAGAAGGGTGACTGAGAAGGGAAATCCATATCTTCTAGACACTGCTAGGTGTATGCCAAGCTTGAATCTACGGGCATATAAAAGTGCCTTGAATAGTTTACGGCCGCTGCTGTTATGCTCAATCATGCACAATATAAAGCTATAAAACAAGCATAGCACAGATACAAAGACAAAGACTGTAAAAGACAATGTAGTAGACATGACATGCCGTTAGTGGCGGGATATGACAATTAGGGGAGTATAATAGTGTAGAAGTGAGAGCTTAGGAAAAGGCTTTGGGGTGTGGCTCAGAACACGCACTTTTATGCTCACCGCACGCTCCAGGGCTGGACAGTAACTGAGCCAGGACAGTCCGGTAGTTGGGTAGCTTCCTAGCAGCTCTGAAGGAGCGTAGTTGTCATGTGACGGCGATGAAGCATTGTTTCAATCAAAACCCCCGCTTTCCCCTCTTCAACCCCGCACTTCCGTATATTGCGTCGGATGAGTCTTTATCCCCAAGCTTCGTGGCTAAACTCTGACCTGCAGCTTTGCCAATGCAAAGTAGCTCGAGCTCGTCGGTTCCCTTGCTGCGGGGGTGAAGCACCTGCGTTTGTCTCTATGGCGAGGTCGGACCGCTGTGTTCCTCTTCTTTCATCCTTACAGCTCCAGAGTCATGTAGAAAACAGTTTCCAACGACTACTTCCTTTTTAAAGGTTGATCTCCCCTCTAGTGACCGTGTCCTTGCTTTCTTATCTCCGCAAAGGACTGTCTATTCAATCGCCACTACAACAAACCCGGTATGGCCGACCATCAGAAGGCAGAAGTTCAAAGAGAATCTGACCATCAGTAAGCGAAATTCTCTCTGCACAGCGAGCAAACCCATTCGCATACCAAGCAGAACCGCCCGATCAACACACTTATATCAACCCGCTATCTTTCAAGATTGTCCGCGAAATCGTCTCCTCGACCGACTTGAGCACAATTTTGATATTACTAGTATCCGTCGCCTGGATCAGATGCGGGTAGAGGTTTAGGTTGGCGCGATTGACCTGATTGAATTTCCACAATATAAACTTTGCCGCCTTGTTGATGTCGGCGCCGCCCTTGTAGTCCGGGAAGGTTTTCTCAAGCGGCGATTGCGATAGCTTTTCTTTGAAGAGGTCGACCTTGTTCAAGAAAAGGATCATGCTCGTTTTCAGAAACCATCGCGAATTCACGACTGAGTCGAACAACAGTAGGCTTTCTTCCATGCGATTCTAAATCGGAAGATTAGTCTTGCCACAGTCTGCCATGACATCGAGGGCCGTACCTGGCTAGGGTCCTCCAGCAGAACCTGATCGTACTCGCTCAGCCCAACACAGAAGGCTATAGCTGCGACGTTCTCGAAACAATGGACCCACTTTTTGCGTTCGCTTCGCACGCCTCCAACATCGAATACACTAGATGAAATTCAGTCGCTGGACAAGTGTCAGTGCTTGGGAGGAGCGCGTACTGGAGGTTGGTATAACCGATGGAGACACGGGTTTCGTATATCCCCGTGGTCTTCGTGCGCGCACACAGTACATCCGCCTCCGTGGGTTGATAATCTTGTGCGGCTATTCGTTCTATGTTATCGAGAAAACTAGGTGCAAGTCAGTGCCTATTGGCCTGGTATTACTCATTCGGGATCCTACTAAGGTGCTGAATCCATCAAATAAAACTTCGTTCGTTGCTCCATAAGTAGAGGAATAGCGGGGTCATGCCACAGGGCGGATATCAGTGCACAGGCATCGTGCCTGAGAGTTTGATCCGGCAGCAGGCCCGTCTCCGACATTGGTAAACGGTACGATCGGGCCTCTTCACTATGCGGATGGATTCCCAGCTCATTCATTGCCGTAAATAGCGCATCGGCGCATTCCAGGACATTTTTGTAGATCGTCGTTCTGTACCGACTCAATTCCTCCGGTGTGTATCCTTGCATATACAGAACCTTCATCTGCTTGATGATTGTTGACTTGCCTGACTCTGCAGCACCTACGCAAGTTGTGAGCAGCAGAGTCCTCGAGAGTAGAAAGTACACTTACCAAGGAGAAGAAGCTTTTGTTCCGTCAGTCCGCGCAGGAATTTCGGCATGTTTCTGTGCTTGGACCGAGCCGCGTAATCGAGCAAAGACTGGCCGTTTCCACCTTTGTAGCTCAGGTTTGCCCCATGTTTGACCAGAAGCTTGATCATTTCTTCATTACCGTGCACTATTGCCGACCAAAGAGGCTCCTGTACAGCAGCTTCATGTTGGATCAGGAGTTCCGCCATCTCATAAAATCCCAGTTGCACCGCTAAACTAAGAGGTGTCCCGCATTTGACTGACACTAGGTCTGTATTGGCTTTTGTAGCGCTAAGCAGTAACGATGCCATCTCCGTATCATTACGGGCAATGGCGTGATGTAAAGGTGCGTATCCCACTGCGTCCATTAGGTTAACATCGCAGAATGTGACCAACGTTCGAACAATGTCGTGGTGCCCCAATTTGGAGGCTACATGGAGTGCTGGAAGACCCTCGTCTATCAAAGGTAGATTGCACACCTGCAATATCTCTTTCTTCCAATTCAGCGCGATGGAGAGAAGCGGTTCGTGGTTTTCTCGCACAGCCCATCCAAAAAGACTATGTAACTGAGAACGAAGGGAGCGGCCGCCGGGCTTCCATGGATGAAAGTTCCAGGTCTCATTAAAGCACGTCGCAAGCTTCTCGAATTTCTCCCACATTGGGGAGTCCCTCGCAAGAGATCTCGTTTGGCCGACCCAGTTCACTGTAGCATAATTCAGAAATTTGTACTGGCTTCGATCTGGGATAGTTGATGTGCGAATACTGCGTAACTGTAGGACTCTCTGGGGCTTGGGACTATCTGGTACCCGAAAAAGGTATCTCAGAGACGACTTCAACGCCGGGCCTGCAAATAGTACAGGGTCGGGGACCACGGCGTCTCTCGTTGCATTGCACTTGTGCTCGATCTGAAGGCTGAAGTTGGAAAAGCAAAGATACGCAATGCAGAATTCTCCGCAATTCATTTCTTCCTGTTTCTCATCGAAGGGTTGTTCTTGCAGGGCTCTTTGAGGTCCGGGAAGGCCGTTTTTCACCAGATACTGTTTGATCGAAGAGTGGGCGAATCGGACGCAGAGGTCTATCGGGTCTAGGACCACAAGATTGGCGCAAGATCCGATGATGAAGTCACGTTGGGGAAGCTTGTTGCTGTCAAATTCTGTGTCTTGTTTCTCAAACGCTACTGCCTCTCTTAACTCTTCGACGTGCAGAGGTCGTGACGCGAAGCCAACCCACTTCAGGACTTTCAATGCTCGTTTATCATGAGCGTTTATTCTATTGGCGCAATACCGATATGTTTCCTCGAGATCCTTGGGCAGTTGACGCAATGCTGAGCGGACTTCGGCATCTGTGAAACAAGTGCTCCAAAGAATCTCGAGCTGAAGATGGACCCAGAGGAACCTTGCATCAACACGTAAGCATAAAGGTTGAAGTTTGGGATCAAGAGGTCAGAAACATACATCCCGGATGATTCGTTGAATAGCACTTCCTTGATTTCTTCTAATAACAGGCGATCGTCTGTGAGCTTCCGGTACATGGACTTATCACCGATACTATAGTCAATGTAGGTCAGGATATCACTCATGGTGTTGTCGAAAGTGGAGGTCCGACCGATCCCAGGTATGAATGTCGCGATGTTGAGATAGCCTGGTATTTGGTCTCGGCTAAAGAGGAGAATACGTTGCCCTTTTAGCTCTCTTGCTCGAGAGAACAGTGAGCGGATGAACGTAAGCAAAAGCTTGCATTGTTCTTCCTCCATCGCATCAAACCCATCCAAGACATATGTGGCCATCGGCACTAGGTCAAATACTTGTATGAAAATGTCCTCCAAATTGTTGAAATCGGGCATTATCTTTCTTCTTCCAAAGAACGTTACAATCTCTTTTTTCAAGTGCGCTGGCCATGGTCCTGCATTCCGATGAAGGAATTCACCCAGTTGTCTTATCAGACTAGACAAAACTGAAGACGCCCGCAGAGTCTCATTGTGGTCATGTTCGCAATAAAAGAAGACGGTAGGAGCATGGTGGTCCGAGGGCTCGTATCGGATAGTTTCGATCACAGATGCACTAGCCTTCCAGTGTCAGCTCGGCCTCTCAAGAAGGGGCACAGTACAAACGCGATCACTGTCTTTCCAGACCCAACTGCATGAAAGTGGCAAGTCAGTAACCAGCGAACCACATCTACTTGGATGCTTACTTTTCCCAGTGCACCATAACTTGTTCGAGCGTCTCTCCAACCACGCCTTGAATTCGTGATTCTCCAAGAACCATTGAGTAGTACCTGTCAGTCTTTTGTGCGCAAGCCTTCTATGAACCTGTTCGTGCTGGTAGCTAGAAATCTGCTCTAGGAGCTCCTCCTGTTCGTCTAATTCTTCAAGCAATCAACAGCAGCTCAGCCTGAACGTGGGAATCAATCTCACCGTTGCGCTGCGAACTTACACTCTGAGACGAGCGCGGGGTCGGCGAGAGTGCTCCAAAAAGGTATGGTACTAGCAGAGCAGATCAGTCAAGAGATTGCCATGTCACGCCAGGAACAACCTACTGTTGCCGGTGGAGAGCTTTGATGGTTCGTCCTCGACTTGTTTTCCATGAATAATGGACAGCAATTCCTTGGTGTAGGCGGCGGCGACGGCCGCCGCATACCCCTGCCACTCTTTACTCTTGTGAGAGTCTGAGTAGTCGCAAATGCCTCGAACAACTAGACACGGGAAGCTGTCCATCAGGCCTGCTGCCTCCATCTCAAAGCAAAGTATGCCAAGTTCGCGGGCCAGCTTGTCCCTCAAGCGACCGTCCTTCATGACCTGATTCGCAGACGCGATAAGCCCGTAATGAATCTGCGGATCCTGCGAAGCGCGAATTGACCGCTTCCTGCGTCTGTTGAGATCACAATCCGTACAGTTGTTCTCTGGATTCACGTGATCATATTCGGAATCGAAAAGAATGTCGCGGTCAGCGCCAGGGTATGCGAAACAAGAGGATCGGGCGGCTTGCGACACAAGCCATGAGATTTGACTTGGTCTGGTAAAGTGCGCAGCTTGCAATCGAGAAATCGCGGTGAGAAGGATAGGCGGAGGCTTGTTGAGTACGCCTTGTCGAGCAAAGGCTCCCCCGGCCAACGACTTTCCATAATCATATTGTACAATGCCACCATAATCCCTTGTTGGCTTGCTGACAACCACATCTCCCAGTCTAACATCATCCGGCGTTCCAGGGACTCCACCGCCAATGCCCACCATCAACCCGATTCGAATCGAGGGAAATGTCAGGCGGATTTGGCTCGCAATGGTGGCGGCTGATGTTGTGCCATACACACCGGAGGGAAGGCAGGCGATGACCACGTTGTGCACATGAATTCTGCCAAGTATGTAGGTGTTGTCGTCGGTCGGTTTGGTCGGCAAGTCAGGGTGTCTCTCGTCGAGCATCGCGGCCGCAGCTGCCATCTCCAAAGGCAGAGCGGAGATCCACCCGATCGTGTAATCATGGTGATGGAGAGCTGCTGGAGTGGTTGTCATAATTATAGGATGTCATGTCGTCATTGCTGGATCAAGATGGGTGACAGACATGTGTCTGCTCAATTCTTCTGGAGGTTGTGTTTGTGAAGAGAAGTTGGTGAAGTCAGGCAGGAGGGGGAAGGAGGGAGGATTCAGCCTCGTGTCTCATGCATGTTGCATGCATGCTATAGACAGATGGTGGCCTCAGGCTCTAGTTCGACCCCTCTCAGGCAGCATCAACTGCGCCCCGCTAACGTGGCTTAACGTGGCTGAGCACGGCCGGATCGGGCGGATCGGTCCGACCGAAAAGTTAGCCCGAAGCCGAAACAATGACAGACACCGCTTATCAACCGCTATCTGCTTTTGCGGGGGTGTCTCTATGACCACATCCAGTACATAAACTCCGAGATCCCCTCACATCGCTCTCTGCTCGTATAGTTCATCCTGCGTTGTCGCTATGAGCAGCTTGAGAAGACAAAACACACGCTGAAAGTCCTGCAAATGACCCAACTAACCGATCCTCTCCCTCTTCAACCTGCAGATGTCGTCTCCGAGACTGCGCGAGCCATCGATGATGCGAGCGAAGAACTGCGCAAATTGAGTCTCGAGGTGAGTTACCTCAACATAACCCCGCTGAAGCTCAGACCAGACAATAACCAACCCGTATCTCCAACAGCTCTTCCACAACCCCGAAACTGCTTTCCAAGAAGTCAAAGCTAGCAAGCTCCTGTCCGACTGGCTCGAGCAACGCGGATGGACCGTCACGCGCAATGTCTACGGCATCGAGACCGCCTTTGAGGCACGCTTCTCCATCCGGGATGGCGGACGCACCGTCTGCTTCAACGCCGAGTACGACGCCCTACCCGGCGTAGGCCACGCCTGCGGCCATAATCTGATCGCCACCTCCACGCTCGCATCGGCGGTGGCCGTTGAGACCGTGATCAGATCCCGCAACCTGCCCGGAACAGTCGTCGTGATGGGCACCCCTGCCGAGGAGTCGTACGGCGGGAAGTGGATCATGGCGAAGAACGGCGCGTGGCGGGACTGCGACGCCTGTGTCATGACGCACGGGATGCCGGACTTCAGCACGCCCGTGTGCATGACCAAGGCCTCGTGGAAGCTGCGGGCCAAGTTCCACGGCAAGTCGGCGCATGCAGCGGGGGCGCCGTGGACGGGGCGGAACGCCTGCGACGCCATCGTGCAGGCGTACACAGGGATTGCGTTGCTGAGGCAGCACATTGAGAAGAGTGAGAGTATCCAGGGATGCATTCTGGAAGCGGGGAAGGTGCCGAATCTGATTCCGGATTATTCGGAGGGGATGTTTAGTGTGCGGGCGCCGACGGTGAAGCAGATTGAGGCACTCCGGGCGAGGGTGGAGCCTATCTTTCACGGTGCGGCCGCTGCGACTGGGTGCACGGTCGAGTTGGATTGGTACGACTCTCGTCCTGGATCATCAGGAACGTGCTGATGTGAGAACCTAGGTTCGCTCTTTATGAAGACGTCGTGACCAACGAGACCCTCGCAGAGCAGTACAGGCAGTACATGATGCAACATCTCGGCCTAACTCCCGAGGAGATGCTACCTATAGCGGAGGCGAAGATAGCCCACGATTTGGGTGGGAGCTCGTAAGTGCTTATCATCACCCTCTTCAATGCCCTGCCACTCACCTCCTGTGACAGGGATTTTGGCAGCTGTTCTTACATCTGTCCTGGCATCCAATCCGTCTTCAACATCCACGCGACCGATCTCCCCCATTCGACAGGGTTCAGGGAAGCAGCGGAAAGTGAAATCGGGCATGTCGAGGCACTGCGAGCAGGAAAGGCCAACGCGCTGATCTGCATCGATGTCTTGCTTAATGACGATTTCGCGTTGAGGATGAAGGGGGATTTTAACAAGACAATGCAAGCTGCTGGACGCTTTCAGTAGTTGCGGTCGGATCACCCTTCATTGTCTATGTATATACCATGGATAACTATGTACAACATTCTTTTCCATCAATCTCTCCTGGACCAGCACTCTAGTTGATTTTCGTCCTTCGTAACACTGGCGCACATCTTCTTGAATCATTCATCCAAAAGATTTGGAATGTCAAAAAGAGACTCGCCCGCATCTTGATCTATTCCTCCCACAAGACCTTCTGGGGGTAGAGAAGTCCGCATCACCTGCTCCAGCACTCGCAACCCGTTTCGAGCTTTGGCAGCAGATTCCGCAGTCCCGGCCTCTTCCAGCAGCTGGACCCCCTGTCGTAGTCTCGAAAGCACCAGCCCGCAATTCACAGCTCCACTAGCAACCTTGAGAGCTTTGGACATGAACTCTATAGCATAGTACGTAGTCACGAGATTATAGTCTCCCGAATACGGCAGCATTTGTCGGAATTCTTTCGACTCAAATTGAGTTTGGAGCAGAAGATATGCGCTGTCCAGAGCTTTCTGAATGAACGCCATCCTGTCGGTATCTGCGCTTCCGTGTTGAGACTCCTTCCCGTGCAAAGCAAGACCGTTCACGTAACTAAATTACCAAATCCATTAGGTGTTGCAACATTTCAGTGGTATTGGTAAACACACATCTTTAAAAAAGCGTAGGGAACCATAAAGCGATTCCGGTCTTGCTTCTTAGCAAAGGTCTGGTAGAGCGGCTCCATGCTGTTGTTGATATGGTAGAACCAGCGATCAATTTTCTGATCAAGGGCTCTCAATTTCTGAGCAACACTATCAGGGAGTGGATCGAGTCGCAATTCTGCGCTGGCTATTTGCGTTTTGGCTTCGGCTGTAGATTGTCAGTTGGTTGTCGTCGCCCTGCGGCGGGAGGACCTCATACCGGTAATTGAAAACCCCTGCAAATACGCGCAAAGTCGGTAATCCACCGGTCTGCAGTGGGGAGAAAGTAGAAGCTGAGAAGCAACAGGCAGGTAGTCCATAATATCGTAAAGGACAAATGGTCGATCAAGATTGATCCTCGAAACCGTCAGTCTACAACTCAGCTTCTGATGGCGTTCACGCTTACATTAGGTCAAAGCAACACAAGGAGAACCACGTTCTTGCTGAGCTGACCAACTCTGCTGTGTGTTCGACAGAACCATCTCCCAATTTTAGCGCGGCCGCATTCAAGCCTAGTTCCACGGCGACAGAAGCTACATATCCCCATAGACGATGCCTGCCAGTCCAGGCGGCGAGAAGCATCATGGCCTGGACAGTGTATAGATCTATGGCGCCAGAGAACGTGGTGCTAATTATCTGATCTGCTGCGACAAGATAGGTGGCGTGATTCTCAGGACGGACTGCCCTGGATGCAATGACGCAGATCAGTGTCGCCATCAGAGGTTGTTTGCGGATGACGTGCGCCGCCGAGTAGAGCTGGTCATCCATGAATGCAATGACTGTCCGGCAGTGCTCATCGAAGCTGAGTTCCACGTAAGCATATACGTACACGAGTCTCTAGTGAGGATCCTGGCAGAAGCCGTATACTCACAAATCATAAAGCTCTTCCCACTCATCCTCAGTAACCGTACCGCAGCGCACGATGTCAAATGAGGCCGTATCCTTGGCTCGATTCGCAGCGAGCAGCTCATCATTCGACAATGACACCTCACACCCATTCCTTGTACTAGATTCCAGCCGGGCGCACAGTCGAGAGACGGTGCTTTGTAGTTCTCTCAACTCTTTCTGGTGCCTCTCCTCCAAGCTATTCATCCGCTGTTCCAAAGCAGACCATTTACCACTGCGATGTGAGCAAGAAGTTCATGGCAAACGCAATCATGCTAAAACTCACTCTAACTCTTCAGCAATGTGCCTAGACCTGCTCGAGGCACGCGATGCCCGGGGGTTCACAAAGACACATTCAGCGCGGCTCGCTTTGCACCTCGCACAAGGGACTTTGCCGGGACCTCCACATTTGAGCTTCTGTCGTCGGCAACGTAAGCACGCCGACACCGATCTGATTCATTAGTTCCAGGACGAGGGTGTAGGAGCGAGAAGCAATGTTCACCTGTTTGCAGTGTCCATCGCCTCGACTCGGAATGTTTAATTGTCGCTGGTCCGGATGGTGTCGGATAAACAACACGATAAGACCGGTAGGCCGATAAGTGCTTCGGGGTCTGCATCGGTCGGATTTTTCGGCAAGGACAGAAAATCGAAAAAAAAAGGAAAACTCAAGCTAGCATGTCCTGGTTTCGATCCAGGGTCCTCCGGGTTATGAGCCCGGCGCTCTTCCCCTGAGCTAACATGCTGAATTGATATAGGTAATCTTTTTATTTTGCAATCTACGACAAGTCCAAGTCATTGTCCACTTTCTTTATGACATTTTGTCTAGGGTGTTGTTTGAGCTGAATTGCATGCAATTTTCATTCTCCAGTCTACTCAAATTAAAAGTCCTTTGTGTAGCCTCTTCCACCACATCAGAACAGTCGCTGTCCCAACTTCAAAATATCGGCAATTAGAGCCCCCTGCTGACCCACGGAAGGAATGCGACCAGCGATCCAGTTTCGTTGATGTTGAGATGGAGTGAACTGCCCGGCATTTATGAAGGGCCAAAAAAGTAGGTGTGCACCGGCATCTCCTGGAATACTTGGATCATTATGCCTAAGACGCTTGAATGGGTTTGAGATCCCTTGTGAGCCGCTGCAATTAAGCAACTCCAAGTGATAGCCACAGTGCTGTGGGGCTGTTGCGCATATGTCCGAGCTCAGTTGATACAGCTTCTTCAAGGTTCGCTGATGCTGTATCGGATCAGCCATCATGCAGGGCTGTGCAGATACCGTAATTTTCTCGAATTGTTGGCGAATCTCATCAAGCAGAATCATCCGGCATGCTCGAAGGTTATTCCAGTTGTAAGCGATCCATAGGTCTGGGTAGACATGGAAGCTCTTCCCAAAGACCAACTCTGACCTCTCTAGCAGCTCAAAATTCTCAAATTGCCAAGAGGACGGAAAGGTGTCCGCTAATGAAGCCAGCTCACTATCAAGTGCTTGCGCGGCGATGAGTATGCTCTGTGGTTCTCGTAGCCTTCCCGATCGTATGTCAGCACGAAATTCGGTCACCTGGATGATCATCTCCGACATCCGCCATGCAGGATTGCTCGTGGTATCAACACATTCCAAAGCCTTTTCATGCAGTCGGACTAGATCACGCGGTATTGTAACCGACAAGATAATGCAATGTACCGAGATACATGCGAACAGGTGATGAAATAACTGCCGTCTCGGACAAGACGAGATAGACTCGACTCCTCGCAGACACAACAGCGTCGCTGCGCCTTTCACATGCGCATAGCGGTTTGGAATAGTTCGCCTGGTCTCAGCGGTATGAGACTCGTAAGAGACGAGAAGCAGTATCGAAATGACGATCGCATCAGTTGCCGCGTTTGCTTGTGATGACGAGAGTGCTGAATTAAGAAATCGTAAGGATCGGACATATTCATATCTTGCTTCGCTCAAGATTTCGGGATTTTGATACTTGTGAGAGTAGGCCGCGAGCCCGACTGCACTCAGACTGGTGGCAACCATCGGTTCTCTCAGCACCTTCGCGCTGAATGTATAAAGGTATTCATTATAGCCCCGGATCGCTCCGGACGGTCGCAAGACATGGTTTGCTAGGTAGTATTCGGTTGCACGGCAATGTAGAGGCTGCACTACCTCCATCGGGATACTTAAATCCAGATCGAGGTACTTCCTCTGAGGTATGGTAGAGATTTTTTGCTTCGCATTAGAAGATGAAATCCTTGATGTGGTTGTGTGCGATGAAGTGCCTTTGTCTGTCGCTTTTCTCTGCAGGTCACAATATATAAACATTCGATGAATGGAGTCCGCGTCCTGCGGGCACTGCCAGCCGGATCGAGCACATTGTGTACAGGCTGGACGCAGCTTATCACACTGCACAGAATTCACTCCATGAGACTTGTAGATCGCAGAGAGGCAAGATGGGCTTACTTTAATCTTCCGCTTCCTGCAAGTTTGGCAGCCTGTTGACAGCCGTCCGTGGCGAACCATTATCCCACATGAGGCCAGTATTGTGGAACATCCCCCCAAGACGTCAGCGCAAGTGATGATTATATTGCCTTTGCAACTCGAAGAACAGATTGCAAATCATTACAAATACGGATGATGATGTGAGCTAAGGTTCTCATGATGACAACTGGAATCCTACTCCGAGAGTAACGAGACTCGGCACCTGCGGGCAGCAGTGGCACTAGCTCTATTTGGAAGGTATTGCGAATAAGCCAATCAGCGCTCTGTACTGCGAGTGTGAAGATATTCAAATCTATGGAGAAGGAATCTGACGACCCCTCAATCGACGGTCCATGGACATATAAAAACCGTCTCATAACTGCTCGATTGCTTCAAGAGAACAATCAAACTATCATACCGAGTCACCTTTCCCACCTAGCATACACAAATCCTTAACATGTCATCTGATAATAGAAAGGTCTTGGTGGTTTTTGGAGCCACCGGAACCCAAGGTGGCTCAGTCTTGAGAGCCATTCTCAGCGACCCTGATACCTCTCGGCAGTTCAAGGTGAGAGCTATCACCAGGGACCCTTTCAAGCCAGCTGCGTTGGCCCTCGCTCAACAGGGTGCAGAGGTTGTCAAGGTAAGCTTACACATCTGCCGATACATTACCATGGCTCTAACCACAAAGATCAGGCAAGCCTCAACGAAAAGGAAGAAGTCTATGCCGCTCTTCAGGGCGCCTATGCGGTGTACCTAGTCACCAACATGGAAGGCTTTGATTATGCTGCAGAGACAAGGCAGGGGAAGCTTGTGGCTGATGTTGCAAAGGTAGGGTCAGCCTCTGGTATCCGAGGAATCGAACTAATCAAAACAGGAGCTGGACATTAAGCACCTGATCTGGTCAAGTCTGCCGCATATTTCGCAGAGTAAGTCACCTCATACCTCTTCTTCAGTAGTGAATCAATCCAACAGTCGCACTCGATTAATTGTCTTGCTACTTGAAATAGTCACCGACAGTAAACTCACCGGCGCAGTTCACTGGGATGGCAAAGCCGTTGTTAACGACTACATTCGGTCTCTAGCGATCCCTCACACAATCATCAACATTGGAGCTTATGCGCCCTTCATTATAGATTTCTTCCTCGCTCCTCTGTCCACTGAACCCCCAACTTTCAGCCTGTGCTTGCCGGAGCCTGCCAACATCACCACCGTGCTGCCTGTAGTTGACGCAGCAGCCGATGTCGGCAAGTTCGTGAAGGGTATTCTGCTTCGCCCAAAAGAGACGATTGGCAAACAGTTGGATGTCGCGGAAAGATACTACACCGTCCGAGAGATAGTGGAGACCTTGAACAAACTGGGCAGGTGTGTAATCTTCCAGACCCTGCCCAAGGAGACGTTCAAGGCTGCACTTGCCTCAAGGGGACTACCTGAGTTCTTTCAGGAAGACTTGTGCCAGGTCTTCCAGTACATTGAGGAGTATGGCTACTTCCATAACAACACACTTGAGGAAGCTCGCGAGGTAATACCCTGACAGAGTCTGGTGAAGAATGATGTGATGCTAATCTTGTATCATGACTAGATTGCAAGCGAACCACTGATCTCGTTGGAGGAAGCATTTAGACGCCATCTCGAGCCTGTCAAGTTGGGAGTCAAATAAACAGCTTGGGAGTCTTGCATTGGAGTGGAAAAATGCTCAGTACCGTGAATGGGTGAGTATTGACTGGATGGTATTTGTGGAATTCATTTGTTGGAGTATTTTGGGTCTTGCAGGTGTCGGGCGGTTAGCATTTAGATTAGAAACTGGATGCTTTTCTGCCTTGCTGCCTGGCTGCCTTGTGGGCTCACTGGTTTGCTGTACAAAAGATCACGTCGTGATATTATGTCCTCTGGCTTCCGGGGAATGCGACCCAATCGTGGATGCCTTTAAAGCCGGACAAGACGCCTCGCAAGATACCCCAGTTCCAAGGTCGGCGAGTCTATATTTAAGCATGAACCAACGGAGTCTCTGGCGTGGTCGTGATACGTAAGGCTTCGATCACGTGCAAAGCGAAAACGGACTAGCGGGGAGGTTGTCTACGTAAGACACCCGGCCCAGGAGACGGTGGAGTTCGAGTCTTTCTTTACAATCTCCCACGGTCCTAAGCCTTCAAAGCGTGTTTCAGCTCTCGTTACCCCTATTGCAAGAGCATGCTACTATATCGGTTGTTGATATTGTCTCCTGGCTGACAATGACCGGCAATGAATGGGGTGGAGTTCACAACATCACAGTTTCAGACATTCATGGGGCGGCGGCTGAGGGCTGTCAACTTGCGATGGGCTTATCTGTAGATCCTGTGGGTAGGGAACGATGAGCAACCATCTCGGGGTGGCTTGATCAGTTCATTGGGTGGGAATCTGGGGAGGATGCATGTTCAAACGTAGGCTCAGTGGCTTTCAGCGTCAAACGAACTCATGTACCGAGTAGTATATCGAGGGAAGATCCACCGCGTTTCCACTGTCCACGACGGCACTTTCCCTCTTTGAGCCGAGCGCCTCATGCCGGCGGAAAAGTATTCAAGAAGACGTTGACTTTCCGCTCTGCAACATGCATCTCTCGAGCACGCAAGCCGCCCAGTCATCGTCCAGTCAAGCTTTTGCACCAGTTCATGGCCCCATGGCCCGCGAACAATTACATAGCAAAGGCTGTCGTCGTCGGCCAACAGTTCCACCCACCCCGCCAATGAGAGCTTGGACACCTAATATGCATACGTCCTTCATTTCACCCGGTGGAGGCGCTTTTGATCAGAGACGAACTTAGTCCCAAGGACGACATATTCGCTGTTGCCTTCGCACGCTGCGCCAGCCCCCTAACAGCCCACCTGCGCCTTGGTTGCGCTTGCCCATAAACCTCCGGCACTTCCCTGTCCTCGCTCCAGCCATCGGACTTTCGCTCTCTATATCTCTGACGAAATCCTCCTCGTTCGTTTCTGAAACTTCTCATTCGTTCACCACCACACATTCGTTACACACATCCAATACAGCCATGAAGTCTTACATGCAGTGGGCCGCCGCTGCCCTCGCCGCCGGAGTGCCCTTGTGCGCAGCTCAGACCTACACCGACTGCAACCCTCTGAACAGTATGTTAATGCGAAGAACTCGAGTCTGAGCCTATCGCTAACTGATCGTCACAACAGAAACCTGTCCCGCCGATACTGGTCTCGACCAATGGTCTTTCAGCACTGATTTCACCGTCGGATCTTCTGCGTTTAACAAGTGGACCACGACTGCTGGCACGGTCAACAGCACCTCCTTGGGTGCCAAATTCGAGATCAAGGAGGAGGGAGATGCTCCCACTATCCAGACTGATTTCTACATCTTCTTCGGAAGAGTGGAAGCCAAGTTCCGCTGTGCCAACGGTACCGGAATTATCAGCACTCTTGTGATGGAGTCCGATGACCTTGACGAGATTGACTGGGTAAGTTTGGGTTCCCAACAAGTAGAACAGTCAAAAGCTGACCACTATCCAGGAACAAATCTCAACCTTCGACACTTACGTCCAGACTGACTACTTCGGTAAAGGCAACACCACAAGCTACGACCGATACACCAACGTGGATGTGACCGATCCCGTTGAGGAGTACCACACCTATGCCGTTGACTGGACTGCGGAAAGAATCGAGTGGATCCTTGACGGAACTGTGGTCCGCACCCTCGAATACGCCGACGCTGTGGATGGCACGAACTTCCCGCAGACCCCCATGGTTGTCAAGATCGGAATCTGGGCTGGTGGCGATCCCAGCAACAGCGCTGGAACCATTGGTAAGCCAACTGCAGCACTTGATGATTATCGATGTTGTTTTGCTAACGTGTTTTGCAGAATGGGCGGGTGGCGAGACTGATTATACCGCTGGTCCCTTCATCATGTACCTCGAGTCGGTGAACATCACCAACTACAGCCCGGCATGCAGCTACACATACTCCGACAAGACCGGCGACTACACCAGTATTACCAGCTCGAACTCCACTTGCAACGCCACTTCCACCACCACTTCTAGCAAGAGCACCTTGGCCAGTGGCTCGGCTGTTGCCTCCAGCTCTGGTGCTGTCTACACTGGTGGCGCGAACAGTCTTTCCTATGGATCTGCGATTTCCATGGTTGGCGCTGGTCTTTTGGCTGCTCTTCTCTGATTTGAATTTTCGAGCCCTTGCTCTGACTGCGTCAGATAAGGCGTCTTCACTATTTTGTATATATAGACCAACTCCGCAAGATAAATATCAGATCCCTGTTTGTAAGGAGTAGTCTCCAGAGAAATGCGACCCGTGTCTCAAGCCTGATATGTAGTATTTGCGAGGTCCAAAGCCCGTGTTGCGATAGTTTACTTTGAGATTACAACAGCAGGAAAAGATCGAGCATGGGGTCTTGCCACCCTTGCTGCCCCCACGCGAGAAGACAAGATAGCCTTTATTTCCCTCTACCTTGCGGCAAGCTAAACCAGCAAGACATTTCAATGTCGATCTCTGCATACTTCTTGAAGCTTCCTAACCATGCGACCCCCAATCGAACCACTAACTCCAAAATCTGCAGTCAGAAGCCCTTGACCGAGACTCCCTAATCTCTTTCCTATCTGTTTGACAATGTTGGAGGAGTCGGGGCCAGCCGAGAAGCCCCCCGAGCTCGGAGTTTGCCGAGGCCCGAGGCCCGCCCCGTCCCACCTCGGGGTAGATTGCTACTCATGGATTGACCTTGCAAATATGGTTTTTCATTACAGATGGACCGAGAAAATTCGGTCATACACCTTACACGGCCGACCATACCATAAAGAGAAGACATGCTAGGCTCGTCTTGCGAAGTCATTTCGCCGAGTGAGGCGGTATTAGCCCATGTGCGACTACATGATCGGCTATATGAGTAGTAGAGATTACTATGCAGAAGTCATCGAATTGACAGGCCACGATGTATGTCTGCCGCGAGTATCCCATCCCTTTCGATGGCCGGATGATGCATTTATTCACGGACCTACCGTCTACTCTACGCTCAGTATACTACCCAGGCTATGGGTACATCCGGGAGTAAGAAATAAGGCTGACGCCGGGGAACGGAACCGCGGCCCGGAGTTAAGAACGAGTCGACAGAGAACGATCACCAATCAAAGATGCCAACTCGCCACCGGTAGGCGAGCTTCCCACAGTTCTTCTGAGTCAAGTTGCAATATCCCAAGTCGATCCAGGTCTGCGCTACCTAGGCAGGGTAATGACCCCTCCTGGCTGGAGGCTCCGCCATCGTTCTAGATTATCGAATCTCAAGGACCACAGAGATCAGTCTTTTTACCTGTCTTTTCGTGTCAGAAGCCGCGTGGAGACATTAGGAGCTCAAGCAGCGGGTGATCTTATGTCCCATCCTAGAGTAGTCCAGGACCACGATTGTCGATCGGCTGTCATAACCTGTCATGAGCTCGCCAATGAAGCCAACAAGCTTTGCTAAGGCTAGCAAAGCTTCTAAACAAAAGGCTTAATCTGATGCAGTCCACACCTGTTCCAAATCTCCACCACTCACTCATGGGCGACAATCGTCATCGGAGTGACTAACACTAAACTACTCAAGTGACGCTTTTCCATATAAATGATACTCAAGCTTCCAAAGGGTCCAAGGGCCACATATGGTTCTTCCCAGCCCCAGCCCCCCCATTACCATCGTTGTCGAAGCTGCGACGCCCGCTAGTGTTTTTGGAACGCCTACATCGACAATCTCGGCTCCTGCTACCGGATCCTACTACGCGACCTTTCTCCAGGAGGGCATTCCCAGCGGCACTTGTGGCACGAACTAAACAGCCCTGGCCGCCAGCACCTCCATCTCAACGCTGCAATGTTATCTGCAACAACGCACATGCGCTTTCAGCAAACTGGACCAAAGAAGTGCTTGAATGTACCGTTGAGCGGTGCGACAATGTCACGGGGAGTTTCAGCTATATCAACAGGGCGGATGGTCTCTTAGACCTGCAGTCTATGTGTTCCTATGCTCGAGGTACAAGCGCATAGCCCTCGACCTTTCTCCCTGCGACGATTTGACTTATGCGGACACAGGGAATGGTACATGCACTTCTTCCGCGTCGAGAATGTCGACGGCTGGGCTGCTGGTGGTTTGTTGGCGATGAGTCACGCATTCTTTGCTTGGCAGATCAGAATTGGTCTTTTTGTGTTGTACCTCTAAAACGACCCACGAGCCTTTTAATTCCAATTGAAGTTAGGATTGGAGGTAGGGATCCTTGCAGGAATCATCTCGAGACCGAGACCTTTGCTAGGTGACCAGATTGTCCTGGTGCGAGAGCAAGCTACAACAGTGGTAGGCTACGAGTATGATGTGCCTTGGGGTTGAGATATAGGGTTTGTGGACCGGAAGCTCAGCGCGGCATTTCCTTTTTGTTAATGAGTGGAGCAGAGGATCTCAGCAACATGCTGAATGTGGATGCGGATACGGATGTGGATGGGGATCAGTGGCGATCTCGACTATTCCTGCGGCTTCTGCGAATCTTTCCCATCGAATGCACAATAGGGGCAGACTTTGACTGTGCGGACCTTAGAATTGCGGAAAGGCGTTGGTATAGATATTCAAAATTCACTAGGGGAGAAACTACTCTCAAAACCTAACAGTTGATAGGGATATTCGAAGATAAAAAAAATAAAGCTTTAATATCGTTAGGAACGGCGCCCGCAGACACAGTGCTAAGTCTGTTGTTTCAGAAGTAAACTTCTTGGATCATTCACTGCGCCATATGAAGTCAGTGGTTGGAATGTGCCAGGCAGCCGCTGCGGGGACAGGCAGCAAACTATGCCACGGCGCAAGGAGGCATTGTGCAGTACAGTACAGTACTACAGTATACTTCCATTCACTTGGAGTAACACACACTTGCTCAATCTGCTATAATGCATTACCATCCCTCGTCCTTCCACCTTGCCACTCTCTCATCTTCTACCTTTCTCATCCTCCCACCTTACACTCTCTCTGCCTCTCCGTCTCCAACTCCAGTCTTGCGTCCTCACCTCCACAACTGTCATAAGAACCTACCTACCGTACTTCGACACGAAACCACACACAATATGGGGTAAGTGCGCGCTCACCAATCTCCCGATCATCCCCAGATCCCAGCCCGGTGACTAACGCTCTCGCACCCGAAGCTACACCCATTACTTCCACGTGAACTCCGCTAGCGAAGGCTGGGCGGTGATCTGGCCGCGCCTGATCGCCGACACGCAGACCATCATCGCCGCCGCGGGCGTTCCGCTAACTGGGCCTCCTGAGTACCACCCCAACGGGTACGAGATGACCACGCCCCCGATCGTGTCCGTGGACGAGGGGATCGACCTCAACGGGGTGGGCAAGAACGGGCACGAGCCGCTGGTGATCGGCGTCAAGGAAGACGGGTCTTTCAACTTCGTGAAGACCGCTCGCAAGCCCTATGACAAGGTGGTGGCGTGTGTGCTGCTCCGGGCCGCGATGCTGGCGCCTCAGGCGGTGGATGTCAGGTGCGTAGCTGGCGCTTTTCTGTTTCCTTGAATCGTTTCTGTTGCTTTCCCCTCGTTCCTCGATTTTCTTCGAGCATTGAGAGGCGTATGCTGATGATTCAACGTGGCGGCCTGCTCGCACAGTTCCGATGGCTATTGGGATGATGATCGGGAGTGGATCGCTGCGAGGGTGCTCTACCAGCGGCTGTGGCCGCAGGACGAGATTCATTGTCCGTGGAAGGAAGAGGACGGGCACGAGGTGAATGTCGACAACCCCGGCGGCGGCGGCACTGGCTGTGCCCAGCAATAGAGGAGAACCAAGCCATGGAGAGGTGAGAATCCGGGTTCTTATAACGTCGGGTGTCTCTCGTACGGTCGTGTTCTCCTGCTCTGGACGGGTTGCGCTTCTGGTTTGAATGGTTTTGACTTCCGCTTCGAGACCAAGCTGTGTCTCTCGGGATGGGGAACAGATAACTTTAGTCGCGTCATCTTACGCAGGAATTGATTCGTGTGGCTGTTGCTACACTCTCCTGTCCATCGCCTATCATAGTACTAGGAAAAATGAAGCTCTTCTGCAGTATATCAGTAGTCATGCCCGTCGACACGCTTTGAATCACTTGCCATCTACTAGAAGTATGGATTTAGCCCTAGGGAGCCAAGTAGAAGATACAATCGGTTCGCACGGAGAGCCATAGCATAGTAGGCACCTCGTAGGGCACGATGCTTTACGTGCATCCCACCGTTATTATGTATTGCCGCTGAGAGGATCAAGCGCGGGAACACATACTGCCGCACTGAAGCGTTCCTGGATATGACATTGAATGCCTAAATGCCGTGAAAAGTGGGTGAATTTTATTAGAAACTAGCAATATTAGAACAGATTGGAGCGACTTGGCATCGATGCCAGATCGTCGCTGCCAAAATTTACATATAACGTTGAGAAAGTCTCAGCGACCGGGGTTACACCTCCCCACGACCTGTCCACCAGAACTAGCTCCACCCCGCGCCTCTACTCTAGAACAGCACCTTGGAGACATCCTTGTTCTCCTTGATCTTGATGTTCTTGATCATCAGCACCCAGGCAATAGACAGACCCATCAACGCCGTACCGGCGATCATCATATTGCGCTGACTGGAGGCGTACGCATTCTGGATGGCGATGCGGGTCTCCGATCCGACAGGATAAGAAAGCTGAACATCCAGCGACTCGTAGATCTCCTCCCACTGGTCGAGGGTATCGGCGGGGAGATACTGGCGCAGCTTCTGGGGCAGGGTGTTGGTCCAGATGGCGCCGGAGACGCTGCTGCCGACGGCGCCGCCGACATTGCCGAAGGTGCTGAGCAGGGCCAGCATGGCGGCGTACTCCTCATGGGAGGAGGCGGCCAGGACGGCGACCTGCTCGATGAGGATCAGGGTGCCGCCACCGACGGCCAGGAAGATCTGGCACATGCACATATAGCCGACGGAGTGGCCGGGGGTGCGGAAGTAGATCATCAGCCCGCTGGCCAGCAGGTACAGCGGCACGGCCCACAGCAGCAGCCACTTGAACCGGCCCGTCACCCGGATCAGGTACCCGCACCCGATCAGCCAGATCGGGTCCATCAGGTCGAAGATCGAGCTGATGTACCCCGCCTGCGTCAGGCTCGTGTTGTAGACCACCTGCAGGAACGAGGTGTAGTAGCTCGCCCAGCAGTAGTACGAAATCTGGTAGGTCGTGCTCAGCAGGCACGCCCCGATCACCGTCCGGTTGGTCAGCAGGTGGTACGGGATGAACGGCTTGGGCGCCCCCCAGCGCTCGTACACCACGAACAGCAGCAGCACGCAGAAGCCCACGACCATCATGGCGATGATCTTGGGGGATTTCCATTCGTCCTCCGTGTTGCCCGCGATGTTGAACGAGGTCAGGAAGAGGATCAGGCCGCCGATCATGAGGATGATGCCGCCAACTAGAAGGGAAACCTCGGTGTTAGATGCATCATGGGACCATGTGACTTAGGTGGTGGAAGGGGTTGGGGATACACACCATCGAACTCCACAATGTAGAACCAGATGCTTTGCCACCAGGTGCGCGTGCTGCGGGGCTTGTATTGCAACCGACCCTCCTTGTCAGCCTTGCGCTTGGCCATCTCCCAGGTCAAGATCAACGGCAGGGCAACGACGGGCAACAGGATGCAGACGGTTCCATACGCCCAGCGCCAGTTGGTCTCGTGGAATTGGTTCGAGAGAGGTGCGCCGGCGAATGCGGTGATGATGTACGGCGAGGAGGTGAAGCCGAACGCAATGCCACGATTGCGCAGGGACGAGGTGTCGGAGGTGAGGACGTCCACGCAGAAAATCACACCGGTGAAGCCGACCGTGTAGAAGGCCTAGGAGAGGCAGTGTCAGTTTGTCGATGCGTTTACACGATAAGAAGAGTTTTCGACCTGGGATCACCCACCTGCGCAGCACAGTAGGTGGCGATGTTGTTGCAGCCTGCCATCATGATCAAACCCATCATCGCGATGAGAACCATGATACCCAGACCGACCGTGCGATCCCACAGGTTCAGCACCTTGGCAATCGGCAGCAAGCACGCAGCACCCATGACACTGGTGACGATGCTGATGACCGTCAACAGTGAATGCGCCGAGAAGTCACTGGTGATGTAGGCCGACAGGTTGGCGGTAAGATTGTTGTTCAGCCCACTGACAAAGTAGAGCATCCACATGCTATGGACCTTTAGTTAGTCTGTCTCAGACCCTAAGTCTCTCCAGACACGCAGGCTAACATGCACTCACCATCCATAGGAGAAGTAGAGGGCCTTCTTGGACCAGACGGCGGTGACCGCCTCCGCAACGCGAACACCATCCTGTTGATCCTGGTTCTGAAGTGACGGATCCGGGGAGGCCTCGCGCTCGATGGGAAGAGGATCCTCATCGACTTGAGGGGCATGGCTCTTGTTGTCCAGGGCCATGGTGACTGAGCAATCGAACCGTGTCCGACAGGCAGGGGAGGCGGTGGGAGAGAAAGCGAAGAAAGAAAAAACTTTTGTCGATCTGTCAATCGATCCTTTGGGCTGCGGGCGTGAGACATTTTTAAGAAGCCCTTGCACGGCCAAGCCTTGTCTGTGTCACGCCTGCGTATTCTCAATCAACCGGGTCAGCGATTCCCCTCCCAATGTCTTGGTTTGCCCTTGGCGACACCTCCAAGTGGCGGGCCTGGTCCGAGGTGGAACCCAGGATGCTGCATCTGATAAGATACCATCGCCACGCTAGGGTTGGGTGGTTCGGTGACATTTCGTGCGACTTCGCTAGAAGGTTTGGGGGGGGGGGGTAATTCCTCGTTGGTTGCTCGTGCAGTGAAGAAAACTCTATTACCTGTTCAATTCATCACAACAACTGAACAAGATCATTGTGTCTTCTTCCTCTGGTGTTCAGATACCTCTCTGCCTGTAGCAGAAGAATGCAACATATGCAGCAAATCCACGAAAGTCTACAACAACAGCGTGTTCATGTACTGTATATCATCAAACTCCACCGACCCAAAGCCTGGTTCGGTGCCTCCTCCACCAAGAGCTGAGACGAGCACCGCTCCCCTCCCCTCGCCCGCCAAGAACAGCCAAGGATCTAATCAATCCGCAAGCGGGTATCCTCCGGAGCACATCGGACCACTCTCGAGTGGCTGCACTCGGTGGGTGAGCCAAGAAACGAAGAGACTCGTAACCGAGGTCGTGGCCGGACACTTGGCCCTCGTAGCAAAAGCGAGGAGCCAAGCCCGCGATTTCTTGGAGGAAGTCCTTGGCAACCATGCCACGCGGATTTCATCGATGCAGAAAATCTGATAAAAGAACAAGTTCTTTCTGGTCAGTAGTGAGGTCTGTCCAGGAGGTAGAACATCATCAACCGATAATTCGACTAGAATCAAGCTTATAGAAACGTGGTGGCCTAAATTTCCAGAGCGGAGACTCTCGTGGTCCGCGGGCTCCGTGCGCGGGGCTCCCCATATGTTGGACCCTTTTTTTCCCCCGTTGTTTAGTGCCGTGTGCCCTGATTCCGAGTAATTGCCGCAGAAAGCGCCGCCTCTGTGGCGATGATGATGCTGGGTTTCCTGTAAGCGATTCACTCATTACTTCTTGCTTCATTATAACCCACGCTGCTTGGATGATAGGATGATCGATCAAGAGGTAGTTGCGTTGACATTCAGTACCATCAAGGCTGAGCTGTTGTTGCTCGAATGTTGATTTTTCACCTTCCCGCTAGCCTTGCCACCATTCGATAAATTCATGCCCCTGTTGCTGCATGTCAGATTGGTTTTACCTAAGTCAAGATTGCCGAGATTCGAGATGTCTCACATCGAATTTCTAGGCTGCCATCCATCTTGCTCAGGGACCATGGAAGAACGGTGGGCCTGCATCTGCTGAGAAGCAGACACCTTGGCCATGCAGGTTAACACAATCAGATCCTTTTTCTGGCAGCTTGGTCTTCTTGGTTCTCGGGCGGGAAGCGGGTTGATAAGATTGATAACAGGCGTTGCCATCATCGGTGTTGGAAGAATCTGATGTCTGTATGTAAGGGTCCGTGTGTTGAGTACGTGTATCCGTATGTTTTGTTTCCAAAAATACACCGTACCCCGCTGGATGCGAAGAATACCCCCTGTCTCAATCCGTTTTAGGTTTCTAAAAACCACATCATACATACTATCACGTCTGGTAGAGAAAACAACGCAAGTCAACTGGTTTTGCTCGGCCCCTGATTTCTTCCATTTTGCAGTCATAATTGAATACCTCTGCCACCCATGGGAATTCCAGTACATTCACCAGCGATTAGAGTTTCGTACCTGCAAAAAGTTGACGTAGGAGGATAAATGGTGAATCGGCCCCGGGCAATGCTGATCGGCAAACAGCTACAGCGGTGGGAAGATTACTATGGAACAAGCTGGTTGCAGTATTTACTCAGTAGATTCTTTTTCCAAAGGAATTGTGTTGCTAGTCGCATCTAAAGTATGGGTATTTACGAAATGAAATTTTGCACATATAGAATCTGGAGCATCTAACTGGCACATACGACCACAGGGTGTGGAAAACAGGGCTTCCCGTCCGCTCAGCCGTACTTAAGCCACACGCCGGGAGGTTAGTAGTTGGGTGGGTGACCACCAGCGAATCCCTTCTGTTGTATGTTTTTGGGTCTTTTGGTCTATGGTCCATTGCCAGATTGTCCTCTAGCGTAGTCCATTGCTCTCTCAACATGTTCGAGTTACTGACAGGTCAGGACCTTTGGGCGAACGATCGGCTAGATCAATGTCTTGACGTTCTTTTGGCCAAGCGGTGCAACGCCCCCATCAATTACTCACTCCGTAAAATGGGTCTTGATCGGCAATAGGCTGACAATCGCCTCGCAAACAGAGTAGGATCGTCATCAGCACTTGAAACAGCTGGTCACCCTGACTGGTGGCATGCTGACTTTAACCACCATTTTGGAATAAACACTTAGCCGTGTGCGTGGTGTTTCTGACAGCTTACCAGTTGGTAACTCCTGGCACCCATTCCCTGGTTCTCTTGCGTCTGCCGTCAAGTGTTGCAGGACGCGCACAGACTTCCAACTGTTCTCTATGATAAAGTACAGAGATCAAATATACGTCCTGTGCTCTTAAAAGTTATCGGCCCTCTGCGTGCACAACATGCGGCGCATCAAAGAAGCAACACCTTGAAAAAAGGCAGTCACAGGACACTGCTTCGGAACGCTGACCGTCGACTGAGATATCGCTGACTACTCTATCACAAATTGAAATTATCATACATTGATTGAAGTGAACACGCTCGTATATACATGCGCCGCATCAACACCAACTGTACACCCCATACATCAACCTCCAACACGTGGCGCGCGTACAACCCGGAGTAAAAACATATCGAGCTCCTAAGCTTAAGCACCACGGCGCCCAAAAAGGTCTGCAGCCCGGAATCAAAGACGATCGACCTCCCCCAACAACCACTGCAAATGCCGATACGAGACGCGACCCTGATCCTGGGCCTGCTTATGCCCGGCCTGGAAGGTCTCGGCCCACATCAGCCCGCGCTCGTAGTGCTGGACGCCCACCACGCCCTGCGGCCCGTCCAGCTCCCCGTACCCCTCCTGGGCATCGAAGACGCCCGCCCACTGGAGATCGGGCATGCGGATGTCGATGGGGGTGGCGGGGGCGGCCGCGAACCCCAGCCGGCCGTGCCAGGTCATGTTCTGGATGGCCAGGAGGGTGCCGTTGGTGATGATCAGGTAGTCCCAGTCGCCGTTGGCGATGAGCACGCGGTTGGTGGCCTCGATGACGCGCGGCAGGACCCCCTCGGTCGGGTTGGGCGAGTCGTCGCCTTGCTGCTCGGGCCCGGAGACGGCGTCCCCGCCCACGAAGACGGGGTCACTGCTGCACAGCTCCCATTCGATGTCGTGGGGCGCGTGGAGGGCGCGTTTGACGTCCGCGCGGTTGAAGTAGGTGGTCGGCGCGGGCTCGTAGGCCAGATCCGTCGGGAAGCCCAGCACGTCCCACAGCAGGGGACACTCGTCGATGATGCGGTAGGGGTTGAAGCAAGGGTTCGGGGTGAAGGCTTCGTAGTAGATCGCGTTGTAGATGTCGCACTCCGAGTAGTTCATGTACTTGGGCGGTTGGATGCCGGCGGCAGGGAAGGTGAAGTATTCGTCGAAGTAGGCCTGGTAGCCGCATTCTTCGTAGGTGGTGGCTAGCGAGGTCATGAAGGTCTCGTTGAAGTTGAAGAGCGAGGCGTGTTGCTGGACGAAGGGGTACGCGGGGAGTTCGGCTTGGACCCAGTCCCATTGGCCGATGCAGGCGTCGTACAGGAGGGCTCCTGTGCGCAGAGTATTAGTTGGTGCGAGGTGATGGAGGGGGTGAGTCGGCTTACCGCTGAGGTTGAAGTGGGTGGTATCGTTCTTGTCTAACATCGCCGAGGAAATGTAGGGCACATACCGTCCCGCGTAGCTCTCGCCGCTCACGAAAATGCGGAAGTTCTTGATGCCATACAAATCCTGGAATTTGGTGAAGAACTCGAGAAAGTCCGCGGCCACTTCTGCTTCGTTGGTCGCGGTTGGTGTGCCCACCGAGTACCCAGTGCCTACCGGTTGGTCCACCCTGCGACTTCCATTAGCATCGAAGTGCGTTCGTTTGCTGGGGATGAGGCCCCAGGGGGCGACCTGCTCACTACAGGCGGGCGTTACTTGGCCCTCGATGTATTGGCGATAACGTACCATAACATGTTGGTCAGGTTCACCCATGAATACTGATTAATGACCGGAGCATATGTGCCCGGCTGCCACGTGAATCGTCCATTCTCCTGGAAGAAGGCCTGTTCGGAAGAGCACCCTGGCCCTCCATTGAGGTAGATGGTCAAATCGTCTGACGGTTCGCCAATCTTGGGCTGGAAGATGTAGAAGAGAGACCGGGATTCATTCTGGTGCGAGCTAATGGAAATCGAACCCGAGTACAGCTCACCCAAGTCGAAGTGGACGTCTGGTAAGCTTTCTACCAAATGGGCTATGCGGATGCAATGGCACAGCACGTCAGTCGCGAATAAGGTTCATCTTGAGGTGGGGTAGGAATGCATACGCTTAGTCCGATCATTCCAGAATCGGTAGGTAGAAGTGTTGCTCGACTGAACTCTGGGAGCATGATTTCTCGCAGGACGGGTGGAAAACCGGTCGTAGGCTCGGGCTTTGTGCGCGGACGACGACCCAGGTTGAGATGCATGCACAGCGTTGAGCAACAGAAGGGCAATAGCAACCCCTGTTACAGAGAAGGATGGAAGCAACATCTTCAATCAGCGATTTGCGACAGGATTCCACTGGCTGACGGAAATTATTCCCTTGTGGCAACGCGGGCGGGGATCAGGCCGATCTTGTAGTCTTGTACCCAGCAAGCTCGACGACTCTGTGCCGAGTGTGATAGCTAGGGGGTAAGCGCGCCCACTCGGCTCGCCCACTCGGCTGGTTTGGTGGGAGATCAGATTGCGCAAGTTCAAATCTCGCGATGGCTTCAATTTCCTTAATCAAGTGGGTACGGCTCCATGGGCCACTCTATAGATGCTTTGTTGGATTGGCCAGACATGCGGCGGATGGACATGCGGCGGTTTAGCAATATATCAAGGGGGGACCAGTCGCACGCGACATATCCGCTAAATCAGTCGCCGGCGTCCATGGTCAGCCGGTCGGCAATATAGAGTGGCTTGGACGTGGCTGCAGTCCCCAAATGGAACTCGGTAGGATTACATCGGATTTAGTAGAATGCAGATCTAAACTCCGTGGCGTCGACTATTGGTCGCCGGATTCGGATTGCGCAGCTAAGAGATGTGAGCCTGTCAATAAGCGCAGATCATTGAACTCAAGGCAGACCTTACCCCAAATCCCCTGCACGAAGACCTTTCTTTCGGTCATTGAGTGGCTGATGGGGTCTAAATATGTAGAAAAAGCCACCATCATCGTAAGATAAAGGCGTCTCACCGCATCTATCACGATGTGACAGCTTGCACTTGGTACCACGACACTCATAACCCCAGCCGTCAAGTGCCATCAACGCAAACATCCCGCGCAATTAGGTTTTCAGGGTCATTAGACTTGCGTTTGTAATCGGCATCAAGTGGGGCAATATTTGACTAAAGAAGAAATGAACGGAGACGATTCGTCATCGTTTCCTACCGCACCAGCTCGCAAAGGGCTCAAGCTCCACTAGACCCTGCGAAAATGCGGTATAAAATCTACGCGATCGCCGCAGGGAACCCTCGGACTTTTGGAATTTCCTGCACCGCGGGAATTGTGTGCTCCGCTTATATAATTCCAACGCTGCCATCTGGCCAGACTTTCGACAGGGAAAGGATCAATTAAAAATTGGGGTAGCGCCTGGACCCAAGATCAGCCGCAGATTACCCGATGTAGGAAGCAAGCCTCCTGGTGCGGCAGATTTGGTCGGCAACCCGCTCAGGACTGCCCATGGGTTCGGACGATATCAATCATATCAATCATATCAATCAGCAAACCTCCGATCTCGGTGCTCTGAAATGGCTTTGAAATCTAGCTGCGGGGCGTGTATTCCTCCGAGAGGAAGATTATGTCTCCGGTGGTGTGGCTAGCGAGAGTATGAGCTACAACGCCTGTCGTACGAAAGTCTTTCGGGGGGTTTTCACATTTATTGAACAATTTTCGTTTGTCATTCTAAAATCTCGTGGTGGTCCTGCTTCCACATCAGTACGGGGAGGTCATGCCGTGCCGCTTAACATTTATGTGTGATGGCACTATAGCGCATAGACATGGATCCGTCGACGACAACATGCTCTAAGTCTCCGAACCATGGCCACCAACCTGTGGTCTCTTAGTGCCTGAAAGCTTTCCAATTTGAATTCTAGGGAATAAAAAAAAGAAATGAAAAAAAAAGACAACTGAGTGATTAATCATCTATGCAAAGCAGTAAGTTAAACCCAATATGTCCAGTCCAGACCAACCGGAAAAGCCAGAATTCTCTCTTGTTCAGCCACTTCAACCTCACGCCGACCCTCCAGCACCCCCGGGCGACCCAATGCGCCCCCAAAACAGCCGCCGATCCGGATCGAGGGCATTCCGGTCGGTATTCCAGGTAAACGCCATCGGCGCGACCACCTCCAGATGGCCGGCGATATGCGACAGCAACAGCCTGGCCTTGGCGCGGTCCTGGCCATCATCCAGCGGAAGGTCCGCCGGACCCGCTACACGCAGCTGCGTCTCCTCGACGACCGGCTCCCTTCCACACAGCGGACAGACAGTGTCCAACCGGACGGCGGGCGCGGCACAGCGCCGGCGGTGGACCTCCTCCAGCCGGCGGCCGTCACAGGCAAAGGCGTGGCTGCACCACTCGACGCCCTCGGCGAAGCTGCCGGCCATGGCGGCGAACCAGGCGCCGAAGGAGGTGCAGGCGTGCGGGCAGGCCTCGGGCCAGGAGCGGGTGGAGGAGCAGGTCTCGTACAGGCAGACATAGCCCTCCAGGTCGCTCATCACGTGGTCCGTCCACGCGCGCGGGCTCCGGTAGGGCGCGACGGGGAGGTCGAAGAAGCAAAACGGGCAGGTGAAGCGCTCGTCCCCGGGGGCAAAAGGTGGCGGTGCCGACGCGTCCCGCCCCCAGAGCACGGCGTCCTTGCTGAGCCCGCGGATGCGGCGCTGGAAGTTCCAGAACCGTCGGCGCTGGACGACTAGATCGACCAGTCGGCGGAGGAGGGCCGGCCGCGCGGGGATGGTCGGGCATTCCTGGGTCATGGCCCGGCGGATGCACTCGCGGAACTGCGTGGAGACGTCGAGGCCCAGCTCGTTGCGGATCGCGAAGTAGAAGGACTGGCTGACCAGCGGGTTGGTGGTGGGGTAGCTCGTGTGCACCGCGTGGTCGCGCCGCCAGAAGGCCAGGCGCCACACCGTGTGGTTCTCCACGCTGCGCAGGTTCTCCATCCACGCGTCCACGAGGCGGCTGTTGTTGCTCAGGGGCTCGGGTTCGGGCTGCTGCTGCATCGCTTGGCGAATCGCGAAGGCCATCTGGTCGATCTCGCACTGCAGCTCCATGAGGAGCATGGTCATCTCCCCGCGTTGGCTGGCGTCGTTGCGCAGGAGGTAGTCCCACGACGCGTGCGGGGGGTCGACGGGGTTGATTAAGATGTTGAACTCGGGCATGTGGGTCAGGAACTGCGCGAGCCCCTCTTCGATGCTGCGTTGCAGCTCCGGGCTGGCGAGCTCTTGGGCAGTTGCCGCGAGAGCTTTGTATGACTGCACGCATGTGAGCGCTTGGTCGAGGATAGGTGTCGTGCTGATTGGTCTCTCCATGGTTGGTCTTTGTTTACAACAGTGTGTTTGTCTGAAATGTCAACTATGGAGGTGAGGTTGTCGAATTATCGGTCATCCAGCTACATTGGCTTTTATACAGCAACATCGTGTGCGTTCTCATGAGAAATGTCAGTTAATTCTTTATTTACAGGACATGAATTCCGCGGCCAGCGCTCAGAGAATGTGATTTATGTTCCCTGCCGTCCACGGGAAACTTCATCTTAACGGTCATTATATGTTGTTTTTCTTCATACAAGGCATCTTGTGCTGTACAGAGGAAGTCTACGCTTATTGGTCCAATGAACATAGAGGGCGAGATGGTAATTCCATGAACAAGGCTGTGAATATACGGAAGTCAAAGAAATCCAACAAAGCAAAGCGAGACAAGCACAATTCCCACAAAACTAGACCGGAAGATGTCGAGATCCCATAAACCCCCACCCAATAATCCCACCCTCACCCCTCCGTGAATGTCGAAAATACCTCCCGTTGTGCCAGGGCAAACTCGCGCTCGACCGTCTCCCGAATACTCTCACTGCGAAGCACCGGTCGAGTGCCGTAGGGCTTAGCACAGTACAGAAAACCATGCTGATACCCCGTCACCGGATCGCTATCACACGTTTCCCCCTCACCACCCGGTTGGAACTCAAACGCCCACAGCAGCTTCGCAATCGCCAGAAACATATTGCGTTCCGCCAGGTGAATCCCCGGACAGATCCGCCGACTAACCCCGTACCCATAATGATCGCGATTCTCCCACGCACCCGGCACATACTCCGGCGCCAGCGCAGGGTGCTCCGCGAACCGCTCGGGCACGAACTTCGCAGGATCATACTTCTGGTTCAGCCGATGGTCCGGATCCATATGCATCCCCCAAGTATTGACGACGACCATCGTCCCCTTGGGCAGCAACTTCCCGTCCACCCAATCATCCTGGCCCAGGGCATGCGGAAAGCACAAGGGCAGGATCGGCCGCCACCGGTGGCCCTCCTTGATGATCATGTTGATGTACGGCAGGCGGGCGAGGTCGTCCCAGACGGGGGAGCGGGTGTGGCCGACGACCGCGTCGATCTCGGCGTGGGCTTTGCGCTGCACCTCCGGGTTCAGGGTGAGGGCCTGCACGATGGCGAGCGTCAGGCTGGAGCTGGTGTCCGACCCGCCTTCCATCAGCACGCCCCCGATGAAGGCCAGCTGGTGCCGCGGCAGCTGGTTGCGGTCCTGGGACGCAATCACCCGGTCCATGAAGGTGTCCAGGATCACCCCGCCGGCGCGGCGCTTCTCCACCCGCTGCAGTATGTCCTCGTACAGCGTCTCCATCTGCGCGCCGATCGCCCGCGCCCGCGTCACGTAGTGGCCGAACAGCGCCTCCGGCAGCCGCTTCAGCCACGGGAAGATGTCCACGGGCGGCGTGGCCCCCGTCTCCATGATCTCCGACCATTGCTCCATCAGCGTGTACAGCCGGTTCATGTTGCTGCCGTGGCGGTCGGCTGTGCGGATGCCGAACACTGGGAGATGTCAGCTATGTGGTGTTCACTCTATGAACACGCAGCATCAAGCAAAACCCCGCCTTCGCAGTAAAGCGGGGTTAGGAAAGAGGAAGGGAAAGGCGCCAAACCAATTGAGTTTGTGATGCTATTGCTAAACCGTTTTGGGTGGGCCATGTGATGCTCCGGGTCGAGCATGTAGTCGCGCACCAGCTGGATGGCCTCGGCGTTGACGATGGGCAGGTGCTGGCTGTCGACCATCGACTCCATCAGATGCTGGTGTACCAGGCGGCGGAAGGTGCGCCACTTGGGGCCGTAGTGCATCACCAGCAAGTGGTCGCCCTGGGTGATGAGCTCGTGCGAGACGAACGAGTGCGGCCGGTGGCTGTACAGCGAGCTCTTGCTGTCCAGCACTTCCTTGACGATGCGGCGGTCCGTCACCACCGCCATGTTGCTGTTGCCCACCTTGAGCATGTACAGGCCGCCATACTGGCGGGCCCAGGCGGTGAATCTTGATGCATCAGTGGTTTGTTTCTTTTTTCCTTTCCTTTTCTTTATGTTGATGTGTCCCGCAGAACTCGGGGTGGGGGGCTAAACGTACTGAATGTGCGTGTAAGACTTGGGGATGAGATGCGCATTACCAATGAAGGGTAGTGTCGGAGGGCCTGCAGATCGAGTAAGTGTTTGGAGGTAAGAATAAGCAAGAATAAGCGAGCAGGTAGACGGAACAGCCAACTCACCGCGAGGCATGTCCTTGGTTCGGTGTCCATAGGTCCAGGCTGCACGGATGACAACCACGAGGAGGGCTATCGCCCCACCCAGCAGCCACACGATCGGTTGCATCTTGTTGGGGTGTTTCAGCTGTGAGAACTGGCTAGCGAGGAGAAACACAAGAATAGAAACCACGCTGTGAACTAGTGGAGATCTTGGTTTATCTAGTTGCGCCCTCGTTGGCGACAAAAATCATCCTTCAAGGGGGAAACGCGACCCCGCTTGGGGTGTGGCAGCCAGCCTGGAGCCCTGCAGCCTGCAGCTATCCCAAATGGGTAATGCACAAATCAGGATGCCCTAATATGTACCGTACGATCTCGGAGGTTCGTGTCTTCACACCGAATTGGGATGAGTAGAGACGGCCAGTGTGCATTGGAGAGGGTACCTCCTTTGTTGCGTAGGACAGCTCCGTTCACTTATTGAGAATCTAAGAAGACTCAAAGATTTCAGCAAGGGAGGAAGTGCTGTGGTAAAGGAAAGTCATCCATCCAAACGGGGAGAGACGGAGGTACCGAGTAGTCGGGGCAGACGAGACAACCAACCCTAAACGGATAGACAGCAGACAACTCCTTACGGTAAATGCGGGGCATCCACAACCCTTAGGTAAGCGTTGCATTTCACAGCCAAACAGCCAATGAATAAACTATGATGTGACTAAACCATACACAGAACACGAATAAATTCTTCGATCTTGCATAAAACAGGTTTACAGGGGCGCCAAGACAATCATTCCCATACTAAATCCTGGAAACACCATTGGCCTCCGCCCGCTTTAGGCGGGGGAACAACTGCAGCGCATTCTCCTTCAGCGCCTCCACCGTAACTCCATCCGGCAACGTAGCGGCCTCCTCCTCCACGAACCGAGTAAACTGCACGATGGCATCCCGGGGCGCATTGGGGAAATCGCTCCCAAAGAGGATATGGCCCGGTTTGGCGAAGCGGGCCAACGCGGACAGGGTGACCTCGTTGGCGGAGATGGCGGTGTCGAAGTAGAAGACTTCGCGGGCGGTGTCGAGGATCTCGTCGCGGCTGAGGCCAATGTTGCGGTCCGGGGGCATGCAAGGGAGCATGGTGGCGGCGCGGTGGATGAGGTAGGGCAAGGTGCCGCCCGCGTGGGAGAGGATGACGCGACAGCCGCGGTGCTGGCGCAGCCGCCCCGAGGTCAGCAAATCCATCGCGGTGCGCCCCGTCTCGTGCGGGTAGTCGAACATCGGCTGCGGCAGGGCGCGGTTGATCAGCGCCGTATCCTGCGGGTGCGTCGGGTGGATGAACACCACCGCCTGCCGCCGGCTGAGTTCCGCCCAGATCGGGGCGAACGCCTCGTGGCCCAGGTAGTTCGGCCCCTGGCCGTAGCGGGTGAAGAGGGTGACCCCGTCGGCGTGGAGCTCGTCCAGCGCGTAGCGGATCTCCTCGAGGGCAAGCGCCGTGTCGAAGAGCGAGGGCACCGAGGCGAAGAACCCGTACTGGGCAGGCGAGGCGTCGCGGATGGCGGCGGCGGAGCGGTTGCACTCCCGCGCCAGTGACGCCGCCGCAGCTGGCTCCTTGGCTATCACCGGGCCAGGGGCAGTTACGGAGAGGATGGTCGTGGTCACGTTGAGGGTTGTGTTGATCTCCTGGTCGAGTTCCAGTGTCCACGGCGGAATGTACCAGCCCGAGGGGTCACCGCCGGCTGCTTCCAGGGCTGATGACGTACATTATGGCTTTGTCATTTCACCTGAAGATAGGGAAGTGTACTTACCCTCGCGAAAGGCTTGGGGGTAGAAGTGGTGGTGCACATCAATCTTCATCTTGCGGGTTGCTAGTGTGGACAGTGAATCGCTTTGCGGAGGATAGTCTATCGCGCTTGACTGGTAGAGGTGATTACGACGCAAAGTATGGTTATATGTTACTTCAAGTCCAGGGACAGGAAGGGAACAAGCTTTCTCCAACCGAGGTAGTCTCGGAGCAGACAAGTGTTCTACCTTGTTGGGAATAAAGCTGATTGCACTATCCCCAAAGGAGATGAAACATGCTGACATTCACTGAGCTTATGCATAAATACGAGACGCTTGGACCCCCCCCCTTTCCGTCAACGTGAATCCAACCCTATTCATCGTGCCCCTCCCCCCACCCCAGCAAAATAAAAACAAGAAACAACTAATCAAATCGGGCGAAAACCTCCTGCGCTTCCTGGAATTCCCTCACAATCGTGTCTCGCTTCTCCGGTGCCCGCAATCGGACCCCACACCCGTACTCCTTGGGGCAGTGCAGAAAACCCTGACTGGCCCCGGATTCCGGGTCGATGTCGCTGTAACTGCCCACCGGCTGCGTGAACTCAAACGCCCACAGTAACTTGGCTACGCCAATGATGAGATTGCGTTCCGCGAGATGGATTCCCGGGCAGATGCGGCGCCCAGCCCCGTAGCCATAATGATCGCGCTTGTCCCACTCGCCGGACGCCGCATACGTCGGCGCCAGGGCAGGGAACTGTTCGAATCGCGCGGGCTCGAACCGCTCCGGCTCCGGCCAGCGGCGGGGGTCGTGGTGCATCGCCCAGACGTTCAGCACCACGGTGGCCCCTTTGGGGAGGACCATGCCGTTGATCTCGTCGTCCTGCGCCACTGCGTGCGGCACCCCCAGTGGGCTGACTGGGCGCCAGCGGTGAGCCTCCTTGATGATGCAATTGATGTACGGCAATTGGGCGGCATCGGACCAGGCTGGCGAACGGTCCGCTCCGACCACGCGATCAATTTCCGCGTGGGCTCTAGAAGAAAAGAAACAAGGCAACCGGTTAGACCTCCGCAAAAGGAACATGAAACATGAAACATGCAAGGGGTGATGGCGGTGGAGGAGCGAGGGGTTCGTATCCAACATACCGGGCCTGCACGGCAGGAAACTTGGTCATCGCCTGGATGATGGTCAGAATCAGCGAGGAGGAGGTATCGGAGCCCCCTTCCATGAGCACCCCGCCCAGAAACCGCAGCTGGCTCTCGGTCAGGGGCACCTTGTCCAACCGGTCCAGCACGCGGTCCATGAACGAATCTCGGTTGATGCCCCGGGCGCGGCGGTCGCGCACCTGGTCCAGCACCGTGGTGTACAGCGACTGCATCAGGTTCTCGACCTCGAGGGCACGGTGCCGCCAGTGGCCCGTCATCCACTGCGGGAGCACGCGCAGCAGCCAGAAGTCGTCAACGGGCGGGGTGGCGCCCAGCTCCTGGACCAGGGACCACTTCTCCATCAGGTAAAACAAGCGCTCCATGTACTCGTCATGGACGGTCTTGGAGCGGATGCCGAAGACGAGCGAGTTGGTGATGCTGTTGCTGTAGCGCTTGGGGTGCAGCATGTGGTCCTGCGGCGCGGTGAGGAAGTCGTACAGCATCTGCTTCGCCTCCGCCTCCTGTACCTTCCAGTGCTCTTTCTCGCAATTGGGCTCCATAAAGTACTGGTGCACCGTCTTGCGGAGCATGCGCCATGTGTCGCCGTACTGCATGACCAGGAGGTGGTCCGAGTGGGTGATCAGGTGCGACACCAGGGAGGCTGGCCGGTGCGAGTAGACATTGCTTTTCTTGTCGACAAGCTCCTTGATCAACCTGCGGTCACTGATAACAATGGTGGTGTTCTTGAATCGTTTCAAGGAGAAGATTCCACCGTATTCGTCGGCCCATTTCATGAATCTGTTGCAGTGTTAGGCAAGGCCAAGCGCATATGTCAAGAATGAACCGAGTGCATGAGCCTTACTGGAAATGCGCATCCGCCTTGGGAATTTGCAACTCGTTGCCAAAGAAGGGAACCGTTGGAGGACCTGCGATTGGATGAGTTTAGTTTTCACCGGGTTAAATTAGATTACTGGTTGTGCGCACCGGGAGGCAAAGAAGCATCACGGCGGCCAGATTTCAATGCAGCATAGATGAGAAATAGGACGCCTGCAACCGCCGCAGCGGACGCAGCGATGATGGCGAAAGGAGACACTATCAAGCTCATGGTGGGTGTGATTCTCCTCTGGCAGCCCAGGCAGAACGCCGAGTGTAGAAGAATATAAAGAAAAAGCGAAGTAAGCGAGGACTAGCTCTGCCTTGCACGACCCCTAATCCGGAAGGAGTTTCGGAGCTCAAGGTTGTCTGCCAGACGATATTGTTCCTCTCAGGCTCCAGGCTGGTGTTTTGGGATCCCGGATTTGCTTTGGTCGACCTGAGGAATTGTGCCCAAACGGGTAATGGCTGGAGGTCCGTTCTCGCCGCAATGCTTATCGGGTTGAGTCAGATACAGCGGCATCCATGGCTGTTCGTCCTCTCTTGACTTGGTTCGTTCTCTAATTTAGCCGTCAGTCAAGATTCTATTTTGGAATTTTCTGTTCTGTCATCGCAGCGGTGCCACGTGCTTACAGCTTAATCAACTAGGCCCGGGTTTCCGTGCTTAACGACACGCGCATTAATTGCATGGCGGATAAAAAACATGTTCTCACGCCTCACTCAATCCCAGCACACACTGGCTTAGATAGTCGCTTGACAGTCACAAGCTCACGAATCGCCTCACTTGTAGTCGATCCTTTTAGCTGAATATTTGTTTTTCTTTGGTATTTTATCTTGTGTGGTTTATGTTAACGTTATCTTGATTTTGCAAAGTGTTCAGCTCTCAGAATGATAAAACCGGGCTCCGCAGACATCAAAGGTAGCCAAAGATGTATTCTCTTCAAGGTACGGAACAATAGCAAATCAATTGTTTGAATCGATATGGAGGAAGAAGGTCTGTGTTGGAAAACAAAAAGAAGTTCAATTTAAAATAATCATAAGAATGCTTCACGTGATCCCAATGCTGAACTATCAACCACAAGAACGGATCCGCTCAATGAACCCCATTTGTGCCATTTACGCCATTGGCACCGTTGGCAGCCCGCTTCTTCAGCGCGACTACATCCTCCCACTCCGCCCCCGTCGTCGTGCCATTCGTGCCGTTCATAGCATGTCCATTGACCCCAGCGTGCCCATTGACCCCGTTTGTGTGCCCATTGACACCATTGGCATGCCCATTTACCCCATTTGGTGTAGCAAGAGCCGCACCATCCACAAACACACCCTTCTCATACTGCACAGGCGGTAAGGTCAGCGCCTTGGGCGACATATCCTGCACCCAGGGCTCGAACTCGGCGTTTTCGGGCCGGGAAGCCGCCTCCAGCGCGACCTGGGCGTCCCAGTTCTTCTCGGCCGCGTAGGCGTCGTGCACCAGATGCCGCTGGAAGAAGGAGCCCTTCATCTTGGCGACGGCGAAGTCCCAGTCGGTGGTGTACTCGCGGAAGAAGGGCTTGTAGCCGAGCAGGCCGCCGATCCAGCGGCCGACGACCACGCAGGTCCAGTAGCCAACCTGGCGGCGGAAGGGGACCCAGGCGGGGGCGGGGGTGTATGCGTCTCCGCCGTCTTGGATCTTCACCCGGGGGATCAGTGTGAGCCCTAAACTTAATCGATGAACGCCAACTCACAGCCAAAAACTGAATCCAGTCGAGCCCGCCATCATGCAGCAGGGCATCGTGCCAGTAGCCGTACCAGTTCTCGAAGAAGATGCGGTCCAGCTGGTAGTCCATGCCGGAGTCCGAGGCGCTGAGGTAGACGGTCATGCTCTCCTCCGAGTCTGGGTGGATGAAGAAGTTGTGCACGCTGCCCGCCTTCACGGAGACCTCCCCGTCCGCGGCGGTCACGCGCTTCACCTGGCCGTCGACGTTGATTCCCATCACCCCGGACTCGACGCGGAAGTACTCCGTCTGGAACTGGTGGAAGTGTGGCGGGGGACCCTTGGGCCGGTCGGGGCTGTTGATCAGCTTACGCAGGTTGTCGGGGATGGGGCCCTCCACATTGTGGCGGTAGGTCTGGCGGAACAGGAAGCATCTTCCCGGTGGGGGCTCGAGGAATTCTGTGGTGAGAAGACCGCCGAATCTAGGTTATTGTTAGTTTTGATTATAAATCGAAGAGCCGAATTGTTTCGCTGTAGACATACTTGACAATTTTCGACTGACCGGCTGAATTGTGGTACGGGACAAAAGGCGCCATTGTAGATTAAGTTATTGTAGGGAATTTGTATCCTACCGACGACGGGAAAGAAAACAAGTTTGACTCTAAGGGATTGAGTTCGGATGAGTGGAAATTTAAACTTCGAAAGCCGTTATCGCAAACTCCATATATAAGGAATAAACCATGCCACAGCATATGCATCGAACAATCTATTCTTCGAAGGGTCCGTGTGTTTCGAACCCCTGTCGAATTTGCTGTTTTGGAAGGGGAGGTGGAACGACTCCTTTCGGAAATCGCCCACTCCGCTTAGGGCTTACTCTTGCATGCAGATCTGCAGCGTTTTCCCTCCGTGCTCGCAGCATGACAACAGGAGATTAATCACGCTTTTTCCTTTCCTTTCTGGAAGCTCGATCTGGAACATCCTGGTTCCGAATTCTGCATTACCGCATTTGTCCCTCCCGGATCCGTGCTCACACGTGTCTGTCGTTGGACTCGATTGAGATAGTCATTCTGATGCTCAGAGGAGATGCTGGATGCGAGGGGCCTGATCAGGCTTCGCTGATTGAGACGAGGAGATAGAGCAGAATCGAGGAAGGTCTTCGAGACAGAAGCGCTCGTTCAAGAACGCAGTATATAACAACCATCATCCATCATCCACGAACCTATCATCAGCACAACACAGCCCAGCCCAGTCCGCTACAGCAGGCAGAGACAAAGCCCACACTCTCGACTTCAGATTTCAATCCTCAATCCCTTTAAGTCCTCAAGCTTTCAATTCTCTAGACACTCTAGTCACATCATCTTCCCCACAATGCCTCACTTCTCCTCTGCCGCATCCAACTCGTCCACCGCGACACCTGATGCTCAATCTTCAGGATTGACCACGCCCGTCTCCGAGTATAACCAATTGGTAAACTCTCACAGTACGACTACAACATTCGAAAGATCAAAAAGCTAACCCACGCAGAACCCTGCCAAAGATGTCGCCGTCGTCGGCATGGCCTGTCGGGTTGCCGGCGGCAACAACAACCCCGAGCAGCTCTGGCAATCGCTTTTGCAGAAGAAAGATGCCTCGGGCGAGATCCCCGAAATGCGCTGGGAGCCCTACCTGCGGCGCGACTCGCGCAACGCCAAGATTCTCAAGGAGACCACCTCGCGCGGCTACTTCCTCGACCGGCTCGAGGACTTTGACGGCCAGTTCTTCGGCATCTCCCCCAAGGAGGCGGAGCAGATGGACCCCCAGCAGCGCCTGTCCCTCGAGGTCACCTGGGAGGCGCTGGAGAACGCGGGCATTACGGCCAAGTCGCTCTCCGGCAGTGACACCGCGGTCTTCTGGGGCGTCAACTCCGACGATTACTCCAAGCTGGTGCTGGAGGACCTGCCGAACGTGGAGGCGTGGATGGGTATTGGCACAGCGTACTGCGGCGTGCCCAACCGGATCTCCTACCATCTCAACTTGATGGGTCCCAGCACTGCGGTCGATGCGGCTTGTGCCTCTTCGCTCGTCGCTGTTCACCACGGTGTGCAAGCCATCATTCTGGGCGAGTCGAAGGTTGCCATCGTCGGAGGTGTCAATGCTCTGTGTGGGCCTGGGTTGACTCGCGTACTTGACAAGGCCGGTGCTGTCTCTTCTGAAGGGCGGTGCTGCTCCTTTGACAACGATGTCAAGGGATACGGACGTGGCGAAGGTGCCGCAGCGATTGTCCTGAAGAATCTTTCGGCGGCCATCAAGGACAGCGACCACATCATGGCCGTCATTAAGGGTACCGCTGTGGCGCAAGACGGCAAGACCAACGGCATCATGGCCCCCAATGCAAAGGCCCAGCAGCTGGTAGCCCACAACGCTCTAAAAGTCGGCAACATTGACCCTCTGACCGTTGGCTACGTCGAAGCCCATGCCACGTCTACTCCCTTGGGCGATCCCACAGAGGTCTCCGCCATTGCCGCGGTCTATGGCGCAGACCGAGAGCCGGAAGCCCCCTGCTTTATCGGCTCCATCAAGCCGAACATCGGTCACTTGGAGGCGGGCGCTGGCGCCATGGGCTTCATCAAGGCCGTCATGGCCGTGCAAAAGGGTGTCTTGGCCCCGCAAGCCAACCTCACGACGCTGACCAAGAAGATCGACTGGGACAATGTTGGGCTCAAGGTCGTTCAACAAGAGACCAAGTGGCCATCCACTGACGATGTTCGCCGGGCTGCTATCTGCTCCTATGGCTATGGCGGTACCGTTTCCCACGCCGTCATTGAGCAGTTTTACTTCCCCGAGACATTGGATCTTAAGCCCGGCGCGTCCGCTACCAATCCTACCGTTTTGCTTCTGTCCGGACCCCAGGAGAAGCGCCTGCCCATTCAAGCTCGTGCCCTCCGGAATTGGCTGCAGGCGGATGGCTCTCAGCAGGATCTGCAACGGGTGGCCGCAACACTGGCTGTCCGCCGTGACCACCACGACTACCGCGCCGCCATCGTGGTCGAAAGCAAGGAAGACGCCATCCAGGCTCTGGGCCACCTGGCCGACGGAGCCAACGATGCCTGGACCTCGCAGAGCCGTGTCTTTGGCTCCGGCATTAACCGGGACGTGGTCTGGGTTTTCTCTGGTCATGGCGCTCAGTGGGCCGACATGGGAAAGGAGCTGTTGCAGAACCCTATCTTCTACCAGGCTGTGCAGCCTCTGGACGAGATCGTCGAGGCGGAGATCGGTCTCTCGCCCATTGCTCTCCTACGCAGCGGCGAGTTTGAAGCCTCCGACCACGTCCAGATCCTGACGTACATCATGCAGATTGGTATCTCGGCCGTGCTCCACAGCCACGGGGTTTACCCTCAGGCCATTATCGGCCACTCGGTTGGAGAGATCGCCGCCAGTGTCGTCGCTGGCGCCCTCACAGCTGAAGAAGGTGCCGTGCTCATTACGCGTCGCTCCGTGTTGTACCGCCAGGTCATGGGCCAGGGCGGCATGATTCTAGTCAACAAGCCCTATGCCGAGGTGGCCCAAGAATTGGCCGGTCGGGAGGACCTCGTCGTTGCGATTGACTCCTCGCCCTCGTCCTGTGTCGTGGCTGGGTCGACCGAAGCTGTCGCTGACAAGGCGGCCGAGTTCAAGGAGCGATCCATCAAGACCTTCACCGTCCGCACCGATATCGCCTTCCACAGCCCCATGCTCAACCAGCTGGTGGCCCCCTTAATGCAGTCCCTGGAGGGGAGTCTCGCTCCCACGGCCCCAACCCGCGCGAAGCTCTACTCAACCTCCCTTCGCGATCCCCGAGGCAGCGACTTGCGCGATGCCGCTTACTGGGCCAACAACATGGTCAACCCGGTTCACCTCACCTCGGCCGTACAGGCGGCGCTTGACGACTCCTACCGTGTCTTCCTGGAGGTGTCCTCCCACCCCCTGGTCTCGCACTCCATCAACGAGACCGTCATGGATGCCGGCATTGAAGATTATTGCATGATCCCGACCCTGGCACGCAAGAAGCCCAGCGAGAAGAGCATCCTTCACGCGGTCAGCCAGCTGCACACTCGCGGTGCCAACGTCGACTGGAAGTCGCAGCTGTCCGGTCCGTGGGCGGGCGGACTGCCCAACACCAGCTGGATGCACAAGCCTACCTGGCGGCAGATCGGGGCTGGCCCCGTAAGTACTTCGCAGACTCACGATGTCGAAAAGCACACGCTGCTGGGCCAGCGCATTGGAGTGGCTGGAACGGACACGGTGGTGTACACCACTCGCCTGGACAATGAGAGCAAGCCCTTCCCAGGCAGCCACCCTCTGCATGGCACTGAGATTGTGCCGGCCGCTGGGCTGGTCAACACCTTTGTCAAGGCCACCGGGGCCAATGTGCTGAACAATGTCGTCCTCCGTGTGCCCGTGGCAATCAACGCCCCGCGATCGGTGCAGGTTGTCGCGCAGCGCGAAGACGTCAAGATCATGTCTCGGCTGATCCAGGAGAACGAGGGGAGCAACGATGACTCCTCCTGGGTCACGCACACCACTGCACGATGGGAGTCGAGCTCCTCGTCTCCGGCCCCGGCTCCGATCGACGTGGAAGCGACCAAAGCCCGCATTGGGACACGTCTGCGCGATGACTTCTCAATCGACTATCTTGATAAGGTCGGCGTGTCCGCCATGGGCTTCCCCTGGGCTGTGACTGAGCATTACGGCAACACCCAGGAGATGATTGCCCGCGTTGACGCCGCTCCCTCTGTCGCGGCTGATGCTGAGCTCCCCTGGGATGCGTCCTCCTGGGCCCCGATCCTCGACGCCGCCACCTCCGTGGGTTCGACTATCTTCTTCAACGAGCCCCGCCTGCGCATGCCAGCCCAGATCGAGCGGGTCGACATCTTCACCCGCGCCAATCCGCCCAAAGTCGGCTGGTTGTACGTGCAGGAGGCCTCTGACACCGCGCTGGCGTCGCATGTGAGCGTGTGCGATGAGGCCGGCAACGTCGTCGCCAAGTTCACCTCGATGCGCTTCTCGGAGATTGAGGGCACTCCCGGAGTCAGCGGGAGCATGGAGAGCCTCGTCCATCAGATGGCCTGGCCGCCTGCAGTGCCAGCCGAGGAGCCTCTGCCCATCAAGCAGCTCCTCCTAATCTCCGAGGACGTCCCTCTCCGCGAGACCTACGCCGCCACCATCTCGTCTTCCACCCAAGTGACCCAGCTTGCAAACGCCAACGACCTGATCATCAACCGCGCCGAATCCCTGCTCACCAAAGAGACCGCTATCGTCTACATCCCGAGCCAGGTCTCCTCCCTGCAGGATGTCCCCAAGTCGGCCGAGACATTCACCTGGCAACTGCTCGAGCTCGTCAAGTTCGTGGTCAACAACGCGCTGCCCGTCAAGATCTTCGTCGTCACCGCCAACACCGGCGAGGGCGAGACCCCTACCGCGCTGGCGCACGCACCGCTCGTTGGCCTCAGCCGAGTCATCGCCAGCGAGCATCCCGACCAATTCGGCGGGATGATCGACACCGAAGTGGCCACCTTCCCCCTGACAACGATGCGCTACATCCAGGGCGCCGACATCATCCGCATCCGCGATGGTGTGGCCCGGACGATGCGCCTCCGCTCACTGCCCCGCCACCGGCTCATCCAGCAGCAGGACCAGCAGCAGCAGCAGCAGCAACAGCAAC